AAGGAATGCACTGCAGCAGCACATGCATCCGGGCCAGTGGCTACCTCAGACCATTTTCTGCAGAGGGCAGGTACAATGTGCCACAGCCTGTTTTGCCCTTCCTGTGGATAGCAGGCACTTACCTGGCCTCCATGCCCCAGAAAGTCCTGACTCCCCACACACTGGTCTTCTAAAAACGTAGACCAAAGACTGTCCAGAAGTTTCAGTGGACCCATTCCCAAGCCGGAGGACCTGAGCTTGATCCTCATACTCAACTCTGGAAGGTCTTCCTCTAACCTTAACAAATCCACTATAGTTCATGTGTACATGTCTACACACACAGGCACATGTGTGTGCACGTGCACACACTCACATATACACAAATACATCAAATGTAATACAAATTCTTGAAAACCAAAAAATAAAAAAAAAAAACTAAAGCAGAATATCACATCCTGCTGAAAACCTGCAAGATCCCCCTGCACTCAAAATCCTTCTTCCAGCAGGGTGCTGTGGCTCATGGACCTAATCTCAGACAGAAGCAGCAGGATCTCTATGAGTTTGAGGCCAGCCTGATCTACATAGTGAGCTCCAGAACAGCCATGGAAACCTAAAAATACCCTGTCTTAAAACAAATAAACAAAGACTACTGCCCTTGTCCCTGACCTAGAGCTGGCCCAACTGGAGAGGGAGAAATAAGGAACAAGGCTGAGCAGGGCTCATAAAGGTCAGTATTGCTTAGAAAAGGAGCAGGGGGAGATTGAAGACCTGGTATGTCAGATGGAGTCACTTCCTGCAGTGGACAGCCCTGGCCTGGCACAAGCCTCACTGATACACTCAAACACATGCACTGTGCAAATGTGCACACATAAACACACAAAAGCATCTATACTTCCAGATACACATGCTTGTACATGCTCATGTAGAAACATGAACACATACACTTACAGGTACAAACACATGAACAAGTAAACATACGCATGTCCATATTGTACACACAGATATAGAGAAAGATCTGTACAACATGCTTGTGCTTCTTTTTTTTGGGGGGGGGGGGTTCGAGACAGGGTTTCTCTTTATAACCCAGGCTGTCCTGGAACTCACTCTGTAGACCAGGCTGGCCTCGAAATGTTTGTACTTCTTGCTTCATGGGTTAGCTTCTTGTTGCTGTGGGAAGGAAAGGATTTATAAGGCTTGTATGTCTCAGTTCCTCTTTGAAGTGAGTCAGCACAGGAACACACAAGCTGAGGCAGATACCAACGAGGAAAGCTGCTTGCTTGTTTGTCTCCTGGATCACTCACTCCCAGGTCTATTCTCCCATAGTTCTCTTATACAGCCCAAGCATATTTAGGGACGCCTAAGGATGGTATCACCAGCAAAGGGCTGGCCCTTCCCATATGAAGCACAACTGAAGATGATAGCCCCACAGATATGCCCACAGGCCAATCTAACCTAGGCAATTCTTTAATTCTTATCTTTGCGTTCGTTGGCTGTCCCTGGTGAGGAGATATCTTTGTTATATAGAAGGGGAGGTAATGGATCTTTCCCCTCTTTCTTCTGTGTCATTTCCTGGGAAGGGGCGTTTTTAGGATTCTCTCAGCCTGAGCTCAGTGGAAAGTCTCAGCCACACATCCCAGGTGACTCTAGGTTGGATAAAGTTGGCACCCGAAGAGAACTAGGACACGAACTCTATACTGGACCCTACACTCCTTGGAGCCTCCTACTGAAACCAGCAAGAAGATGGACTCATGACCAGCAAATGAGTTCAATCAGAGCTCAAGGTCGACACAAACCCCACACACCCTCTACCTGATGAACTGGTTCTGGAGTTTTCTCAATACAATATAATGTTTCCCTTTTGTCTGAATCAGGGGCCAGCAGACCCAGAACTTTTCATTTCAGATTAGTTTTAAAGTCCCAAAACTGTGAACAAGGAGTTGCTCCAGGCAAGCTCCCATCCAGACCAGTGCCCTGTCTTCATCATGGAGAGACCACACCAGGTTAGCACCACAGCTATGGGCCCCTCCAATAGAGAGGGCCTGCACATCTCTAGAGTCAGAATATGAATGAGCTTCTTGATTTCTGGGGTCCTGATAGAGAACAGCTCTGTCTAGTAATATGTCTTCAGAAATTGGAAAGTCTGCAAACATCCCATCCCTGAAGAGCTGGGAGATGTCAATGAAGGGACCTGGACCTGACAGCAACCTGTTCCTACCATGGCCAAGCCTGGGAGAAGGGACACTCTCAAGAGCCCTACCTTAAAACTGGGGATCAAGACACAATGCTCCAAAGCCTAAGAGTTGTCTGGGAGGGCTGGTTGTGAGGAACTATGTGCTGATGGTAGGTCCACAGCACCTGATACCAGAACACTATGGCCCTGAGGAGCCTGCAGCTACATTGAGTGCTTCTACTAAACTCCAGATTCATTTAAAACATTTTTTCATTATTTTTCTTTTATGCTTTGTCTTCTTGTGTGTCTGTGTATCATGTGTGTGTAGTGGCCATGAAGGACAGAAGAACACACTGGATGCTCTGGAACTTGGTTACTAGCTACCATGTGAGTACTAGGAACAGAACTTGAATCCCCTGTAACAGTGTGCATGCTCTTAACTGCTGGGCCATCTCTACAGCCCCTGGGAGTCCAGAGCTTTTAAAATAAATGCCTCTATTGAGAAGCAGTTCATATGACATACACTCCAGCCATTTGAAAGTGCATAATTCTGGGAGTCTAGTATATTCAAACATGTATAGACAAGGTGGTTCATGTCTTTAATCCCAGCATTCAGGGGGCAGAGGCAGGTGAATCTCTGTGAGTCCCAAGCCAGTTTTGTTTATCTTGTGAGCTCCAGTCCAGCAGGGGATACATAAAGAGACCCTGTTTCAAAGTTAAATTAAATAAACAAGTGCATAGATAAATAAACGTTTGTGGCTATTGCACACACCACAGGGGGAGAAAAACGCTCCAAAATCATGAGGAGTTTCTCTGTATTTATTCCTCCCTTAGTCACTGGCAACAACTAACAGATCGGGTTATTTTCAGGATTTCATACAGAATAACTTGCACAGTAATGTGGTGGGTGTTAGGTTGATTAGTTGGTTGGTTGGTTAGTTGGTTGGTTGGTTGGTTGGTTTTGTTTGGTTTGATTTAGTTTTGGTCTGGCTTCTTCTGCTTGTGGCCATGTTTTCAGAGTTCATCCACATTCTGCAGTGTATCTTAGAAGTGTATTCATGCCTCCCAGTTGCCATGCAAGCACCCTACTGTGGGTTGGTCACAGAGCTTAGTTATAGGGCACTTTCTTGCCTGGTGTATGCAGGGCCCAGAACTGAGAAAAATATTGTACATATTTACTGTTTTTTAAAATTTATGTATGAGTTGACGGACATTCATTTCCCTTAAGGGTTATCTGCTTGACTCTAAAAATGTTACCACAGAGACCTGGAGAGATGGCTCAGAAGTTAAGAGCACTTGCTGCTCTTTCAGAGGACCAGAACTCAGTTCCTGGCACCCACATATGGTGCACATGCATACACGCAAGATCTCAGGTGCTTCCAAAAGCCCTGGCAACCTCAGGAAGGAGGAGGAGGCTAGAGCAGGTCTAGCTCTGCTGTTCCAGGAAGAATGGCTCCTTAAATAAATCTGGCTGCAGCTTCAAGGTTTCACTTTTGTGTCCTGACCCTCCAGGAAGAGAAGCACTCTTCCTGGTGGCTCCATTGCTCCTGGGTTGAACAGAAAAGAGACCCCTCCCCTGCTCCCCAGCATGTCCTTGCTTAGCTTGGTGATCCCAAATACCTCAGTAGAGGTGACATCTAGGTGAGCCACCCTGCTACTCGGCTCCTCCCAGAGCCCAGCTGCCCCTACTCTGGTGTAGTCTCCACTCTATGGCCTGGATGCCTGCTTGTTAAGTTGGGGAGTCAGCCTTCCAGAAGACCCACTATACCAGACAGCTTGAAGAGACCTTAGCAGCTAGGGCCTAGCCTCTATGGAGGCCACCCACTAGGGATACAGTGGGAACAGTCTGGTTTGGGCTTGAAGCTGGCAGAGAGAGGATACACTTGGAGGAGGTGGGAAGGAAGGAGGACAGTGCACTCTCTAGGTTTCTGGGCTGAATGCTGATTCCCTGGCCCACAAGTCCCTCCCTGGTCCCCAAGGGCCTTCTTGCCTCACTCTCCACCATTAGCCCAGAGACCCAGTTTCATAGGGGTGTTACCTGTTGTTCCACACTGCACAGGTTGTCTGCCTCAGTCCTGTTTTGGTCTATGACCCATGAAGGTTCAATGAGGTCAGGTAACACACAGAGCTGTACATGAGAGCCGTGGAGGAAACCACCAAACCCTGGTACCACGGAACACTGGCTTTGCTGTGGGCTCCTGTGCCGAGTCCCTTAGAAGTGAGGGCTCCAGTTCTTTCCCCAGCCTTGGCCCTCAGCCAGGGAGTGCAACGGGGTATCTTAGATTTTAGCAAGTGGCCAGGGGTGACACACAGTAATTAATGGTATGGACAATGCAGTACCTGCTGTAACAGGCTACCTCCTCTTCCTCCTGGGTCAAGAGCCAGAGACTCCAGGGAGAAATGGAAAAGTGAGCCACAGAGTGAACAGTGTCCTCTGTGTTGTGTTGTGACGCAGACCAGCTCACAAAGACACCTTATGAACAGACCGACTACTGCTCTGGTGGCAAGTAGCAGAGTTTTTGCTTCAGCAGTGAAAGTTATATTGAAACACATTAACATCTCTTTACTGATTACAACAACATCTTGTGTGGATAAAAGCTATCATCCTGAGACCCTTCAAAAAAACAGTTCCTCTCCACTCTTAACAGCATTCCAAGACTTAAAAAACACATTATCTCAGCCTCAAGGCTACCTCAAAGTGTGTTTACTTATGCCCTGGACCATGGAGATAACTGCAAGGCATGCCAAGAGTTATATTAGGACACCCATCCCTCTCAGGAGGGGCAGGCCCCGAACTCTCCCCTAGAATCCCCAGCTAACCCTTTCAGGCCAGCAGAGCAGGGTGCAGCCAGCAGTTCTCCTCAGTGTTGGTCCAGCACAATGTGCCAGGATGAACAAGGCAAGGCTACTCTGAAGGGATGGGGTTCCTGAGTGCTGGAGGCAACTAAGTATGGAACTCGGCCATCCGCCCCCAGGATCATGCCATCAGCCTTTGAGAGAGCGGTCAAGACTGTGATCCAGGAGATGGACCACAGCAGAGGAGATCTCATCCCAGTGGACTCTCTTCGGAATTCAATCAGCTTCAAGCTGTACTGCCTCCTGAGCAGGAGACTCTCAAGCTCATGGTTCTGGAAACCCCGTTATACATTTGTCAACCTGTCAATCAAGGACATCCTGGAACCCATTGCTCCAGAACCAGGTATCTCCTTTAGCCGCTCCCCTCCTCCCCATCCTGAGCCCCCATATTGAATAGAAGAAGGGAGTGGGCGAAGCCCAGCCTGCCATCTTACTGGGCACGTTCAGCTCTACTCCTCTGGCCCTATTTCCAGAGTAGGGAGTTCTTTAAAGGCTCCATTGCTACAGAGGAAAGACAAGGCAGTGGCTACTGGAATAGGACAGTAGAGCTGGTCTCGTTTTAGAACCGGAGTATTTTGGCCCCTTGGAAGTCTCTGATGTCATCGATGGGAACATTCAGGGCAGTGTGGCTGTGGCGTCAGCCATGACAGAAGGGAGAATTTCTGATGGGGCTGCAGTGTCTGATAGTGCCAGTGCTCCCGTGAGTATGTATATACTGAGTGTGAATCCGAAGACCTGGGATATCATGAAGAGTGAAAGGTGAGCCCCTGAAGGGATGACTGCTCTCTTACCTTGAGCAGCCATGCTTCTTGGGAAGGTTGCTGGGTTCTGGGCATCAGAAGGGTCAGTGTCTCACAGTACTGAACAAGGGAAGCCCAAGAGGAATGGAGCAGTATAAACAATGTCAGGTGGGGAGGGAGTTTAAACCTTGGTTGCCAGGACTGCATCCTGAAGATGAGGATATCAAGGAAGGGCCCAAGTTGCTCAGAATCAGGCTGAGCTCCTCGTTGCTATGGAAAGGGGGTGATGTGGACTTGGAACATTTATGGATCATACATAATGAACTCCCTCCACAGACACAGGTGTCCTCTGTGTTTGAACTTGTCATTACCCTCACAAGCACCTAGACACTGTTGGGAACATCCTGGAAGTGTTCCCAAGTCTGGTATCCACAGACTCCTGGATTCCCTAGCCTTTTCATCTCACCTGTCAGCAGGATGGTGGGGAAGGAGGCTAGTCCATGGTGGGCAAGCCCTGGCAATCTTTCTGTAGGCACCTGCAGCAGCCTGAGAATACAATCCTGCAACAGCTTCGGAGTCGTGGGGATGACGTGTTTGTCATCACCGAGGTCCTGCAGACAAAGGAGGAGGTGAAGGTCACCCAGACCCACAGCCAGGAAGGCTCAGGAAAGTTTACACTGCCTGGAGTCTCATGCTTGCAGGTATGTGATGCTACTCCTAACACTAGCCTAGTCCTACTTGGGCACAGAGCAGGAAACTTAGAAACTGGGGCAACATCCCAGGCAGTGATGGAAGACTCTTCTAAGACCCCTCCAGAAGAAAACCATAGCCATACTTGCCCAGTTAGCTGGAACTGCTAAAGGCTGGGTCAGCCATTACCAATGACAAGCCTGTCACCAACACTCCACTCATAGCTATTCACTCCACACCCCTGAGCCCATATCCATCCTTCAGGGTGAAGTCAAGGGCCACCAAATTCGAAAGAAGATGGTGACACTTCCTCCAGGCAGCATTCTTGCATTCCAAGTGGCCAAACTGCTCATTGGCTCTTCATGGGGTGAGTGGCAAGGTACTGTCTCTAGAGTCCAGACTCTGTGGCAGAGAAGCGCTTCAGTTGGCCAGGGGATGCTGTGGGTATCTGGCTGCATGATCTCCCAGACAGGATGGTAAAGTGTGCCAGGAACTGAGATGTGGGTCATAGGGGCAGGGTCTCATGAGGTCCCAGGAGCCCTGTGGATAAGGGAGTTGGTGACCTACTTGCTTCTGCCTGCTTCCAGATATCCTTCTTGTCTCAGATGAGAAAAAGAGGACATTTGAGCGCTCCTCAGGTAAGGCGTTCCTCTGGCCCTACTTACCCCTTAGCTTTGAGGTGTTGCGTGCTCAGGGCATGAAGTGGGCACACACCACACATACACATGTATACACAATGGGTGAGGCTCAACTCAGGTGATGTTGCTGGGCCTGCTTAGCTTTCCATCTGCCCTGGGCTGCCATTAGTAGAAATGATGGGTCTGGGAGGGTCCAGGGAAAAAAATCTCAGCCCTCTTTTGTGACCCGCGTGTAATCGTCTCACCAGCAAGAACACACACGGGCACCAGGATCCTTCCGCAGCAAGCCTTTATTCCAATGTAAAGAGGAAGACCCCGGGCCCGGAAAAGGCACTGCTTATATACCCTTGGAGTGGCGTGTTCATTTCTGATTGGCTGCTTAGTCGTTGCCCGCCAAAATGCCCCGGGATGGGCTTTGACTTTGGCGCGCTTTTACCATAGCACATGCGCGGTTTACTTGTTTACTTGGAGGAGCACCGGATGCCAGCGCCATCTTATAATGGCGAATGCTGTCAGCACAAGCTGCAGCTTCCTACACTCTTTGACATAAGACAAAGGTCCCTGGGCCACTAATCAAAACAATTTTCCCCTTCCACCAACTGGATTTGTTGCTTAGGCCACAGAAGAGGAGTAGACCAGAATCGCCATAGATTTAATCTGCTCGCTGCACTACACCAACGTCCCCGAACCCAGCGCAGCCGCCGACGACGACGACATACTGAGATGATCGAGTGCATGTCAGGTCTCAGTGTACTACACTCTGTCGGTGTGCAGCACAAATTCATGTCAGGTCAGTAACCCCTTCACCTCCATGGAACTCCACGGCTTCTGCATCTGCTCCCTGGACCTACCCCTCCTAACTAATGTTCCCTAAGACCTCGTGGACATCAGGTGGTACTGCCCTCTGTCCTCCAGATGAAATCCCTGAGGAAGAAGAATTCAGTAAAGACTTCCAAGGCCTGTGTGCAGAGGTGAAGACGGGCTCTTTACAGCTGGGGAACTTAGAAATGGAGTTGAGACAACAGCTGCTAGTGGACATCGGGAGGATTTTACAGGACCAGCCCAGCCTGGAAGCCTTAGAGGCCTCAGTGAGTGAGAGTGATGGTGGTGGACAGGGTCTGGACAAACCTGCTCAGCCTCATTTACTCCTGCCTCCCTCAGCTAGGGCAGGGCCTGTGCAGTGGTGAGCAGGTGGAGCCTCTGGAGGGCCCAGCAGGCTGCATCCTTGAGTGTCTGGTGCTAGATTCTGGAGAGCTGGTGTTGGAACTCGCAGCCCCTATCTTCTACCTGTTGGGAGCACTGAATGGTGAGCAGCCCAAGGAGGCATTAGTAGGGACAGGAAGGGAGGACTAGGTTCTATATGGGGCATTTTGGAACCCTCTCTCAGCCCAGATGTCTCCCCAGGGCTGAGTGAAACTCAGCGGCAACTGCTGGTTAAGGCTCTGGAGACAACAGTACTGTCAAAGCACCTGGAGTTGGTGAGAAGACCTGGCCTTGGGGGTGCAATGGGGCCCTGGGGACATTGAGGTTGACATGGGAAGGGGCTGCTTCCCTCGGGCTCAAACAACAGTCAGCATCTATAACTACTCACCCTCCTCTGTTGGTAGGTAGAGAACATCTTGGAACAGAGCACCCCATGGCAGGAGCAGAAGACTGTGTCCCTGCCCTCCAGGCTCCTTGGGGACAGCTGGGATGAGGAGGCTCCCACATGGATCTTACTAGAAGAATGTGGCCTGAGGCTGCAAGTGGAACCCCCACAGGTGCACTGGGAACCGACTTCTCAGGGCCCCACATGTGCTCTCTATGCCTCCCTGGCTCTATTGTCTAGTCTAGGCCAGAAACCTCGTTAGCCTGCAGGCCTCCCTTCCAGCAACATCTCCATGTCCTACCCTCCAGCCAGGGTAGAGTCTTGCCAAGCTCAGCCTCTAGGAAACCAAGTACCCAACTCAGTCACAGGGTTAGAATGCAATGAGATCCAGGAGTTGGAAAAATCAATAAATGTACAAACAAAAGCATAGTGGTTTCTTTCTGAAGGATACTGAATTATCAGTAGGATGGGGAAGGGTGGGAGTTGCCCACACAGAATCAAGATGGATGCAATGGCTACCACCTCACTCCTGTGACCTATGGACAGGCAGATTCTGGGAATCAAGAAGTCTCATGGCACGGGCGAGTTCCTGGGCTCTGTGTCTAGGGAGAAGATGTTTCTAACTTATGTGGCCAAGGGGTTCTGATCACCCCTGGGAGCTTGCACACCTAGGAGAAGTGTTTGGTACTCGGTGGGGACCACACAATCTCCATAGTGCAGCTCAGCTTCAGCTTGCTGAGAAGTGGAAGTAGAAACAGCTTCTTCCTGATAGGTGCTTTCTTTCTCAGTGATGTAAACATAGGCCAGACTAGACCAGATTAAAACAAGATATGGCAGGTTTATTAGGAGGCAGCTCTCAGGTGGGTTCACGGATGTCACACGTGGAGGTCAGGGAAGTTACACATCCAGGCTAAAGCAAGAAGGTTTTATGGTTCTAGGAATTGGAGTGATGACATGTGATCTAGAAGCTGGGATTGTGTCCATCCATGCTCAAAAACTAAGCCCCTGGCGGAAACTCTGAGATGAGAAGTGATGACAAGTTACCCCAGAATTTTCTCCAAGCAGGCAGAGTTGGGGGAAGGAGATTCAGTTGGGGTTTCCCGGCTTGTTCAGGAGATGAGCAGGGGTTCCATCTTAACATGCCAATCTCTTTATGTCCAGGGGCTCCTGTCAGATGTGGCTACTTCCTGTTGATGAGGAATGGCATGAGGTGGGAGGATGAGGAGTTTCTGGGTTTGAGCTCAGGAGGTATGGGTGCAGAAGCAATTGGTTGTCTGTCATCCTGGAGACTTCAAAAATCTCATTTGTGGAAGAAGAGGAGAAGGGATGGGGCTAGAAGAAAAATAGGTTAGTATCTTCTGTCCTATGAATAGGCTAGCCTTGTGTGAAGAGCAAAGGCTGCCACAGAGAGTGCAATGCAGATGTTCCTGGTTGTATGGGCAGAGTTCTTTTTTCTTTTTTTCAAGATTTATTTATTTTATGTGTGTGAGTACACTGTCACTGTCTTCAGACATTCCAGAAGAGGGCATCAGATCTCATTATAGATGGTCATGATCCACCATGTGATTGCTGGGAATTGAACTCAGGACATCTGGAAGAGCAGACAGTGCTCTTAAATGCTGAGCCATCTCTCCAGCCCATGAGTAGAGTTCTTTAGACAATTTGTGGAGTAACTCAGTCTGGGTCTCCATCAGGCTTGTTGTTTCCCCGGGGAACATGCAGGTCTCACCCTTATCAGTCATGAGGAGGTTAAGATCCTCTACTTTTGTAGGGCTACTGAAGCTTCTGAGTTTACACAAAGAGGTAAGTTTTAGACAGGTTAGCATTATCATTTGTACTGCCTCATTTTAAGTGTCAACCTGACACAAGCTGAAATTATCACAGAGAAAGGAGCCTCGCTTGAGGAAATGCCTCCATGACATCCAGCTGTGAGGCATTTTCTCAATTAGTGATCCAGGGGGAGAGCCTATTCTATTGTGTGTGGTGTCATTCCTGAGCTGGTAAGAAAGCAAGCTGAGCAAACCAGTAAGCAGCACCTGTCCATGGCCTCTGCACCAGCTCCTACCTCCAAGTTCCTGCCCTGTGTAAGTTCTATCCTGACCTCCTTTGGTGACCAACAGCAATGTGGAAGTGTAAGCTGGATAAACTCTTTCCTCCCCAACTTGCTTCTTGGTCAGGGTGTTTTGTACAAGAATAGAAACCCTGACTAAGACATTATTGTCTGGAATCTATACTGAAACTCACATTGTAGAAAAGACAGTAGACTCATACCTTTCTGTCATTATTGAGGCTTGGCAAATGATTTGGGATTAAGAGCATGAAGACTCTCTAAGGTCAGCTCAGGGAAGACAAATGTTCTGTGAGACAGAAGGGACAAGAGCTCCCTTGATCCTGATTTGCAGTATGATTAGAGATTGTGAAAGAGGGACTTCTTTCCTCTATCCAGAAGGCTGGATGCATATAGATTAGACGGACCTTTTTAATGAGAAACACTTTTAAGTCTATATTTAGAAAACAACAAGAGGAAATTTAAAATCTTGAACTTGTGACTACAATAATAGTAGATCACACAGTAGAAGGCTTTATCAGAGTTAGACTGATAGTGTACCATAACTCTATTGGTTCATAGTAAAATTTTGAACTTTTGAAGCTTAATACAACAGTAACATAGTGAGGGATCAGAATCAGAAACATTTCTCCCATACACTTTACATCATTTTTTGTATTGCCTAAGTTTTTCACACCCTCCGATCTTCATACCTTCATCTCTCCATCCCTCCATCATCTCTCTGTCCCTCCATCATCTCTCTGCCCCTCCACCATATGTCCATCTCTCCACCCCAGTAGCTCATTTATTGATTGGATGATTTGATAGTGTGTAGCATAAAATTCACAGCTTTTTAATCTGAAGGCTGATGTGTAGTAGGTAAATATATTTTTCCATTGTCTAAATCGTGTCTCCACTCCTGTGATTCTTTCTTTTCCTAAGGAGAAAGAGTATTTTAATTGCATGTAATTTGTCAAGTCTTGGGGTTGTCCCCTGTACTGTGGGAGTCCTGTCAGAAAATCCTTACCTCTGCCTGTGTCTTGACCTGTCTTCATCTCAGATTTTCACAGCTTCAAGACTTACACTGTGATCTTTGATTCATTTTAAAGGTGTTTTGTTAAAGAGTCTTTCTTCCCTCCTTCCCAGTATATGTTTTTGGAAGTTTTATCAAAAATGAGGTGTATGTCACTGTGTGTGTACTGCTGGGTCCTCCGTCCACACCATTGGTCTATGGGTCAGTTACAGTGGCTCAGAACTGAAGCTGAGGATCCAGTCCTGTCATTCACCCAGCACTGCTAAGAATTCCTTGAGCTAGGGCTGGAGAAGGCCCTGGAGGTTAAGAGCACTGACTGCTCTTCCAGAGGTCCTGGTTCAATTCCCAGCAACTACATGGTGGCTCACAACCATCTGTAATGGGATTGGATGCCTTCTTCTGGTGTGTCTGAAGAGAGCTACAATGTACTCCTATACATAAAATAAAGAAATAAATCTTTAAAAAGAGGTATCTGGGCATTTTTTGAGCTTACATATGAATTTTTGAATTACTATTTCTAATAGAATGTCACTATATGTTTGATGGAAATTGTGTTGACTCTATACAGTGCTTTAGGCAATGCAGCCTTTTCCATGTGCTGAATCAGTCCACCCACGAACAAGGGAGACTTTTTCATCTTCTAGTGTTTTTTTCACCAAGGTACTTTTTGGTTTTGGACTTAAAGTGAGTGCATTTCCCCCTTTCGTTCTTATTTGTTTTATGTTTCTTTCTTTCTCCAAACCCCTGTCCCCGGACCAAAAAAAAAAAAAATTATTTATTGGCCTTGGCTACTTGAGTGTGATGGATTGGGAGGAGTGGGTGGCACCAATACCAGGACCGATCATTCTTCACAAGCTTTTAAGTCATGGAGAACTCACCCAGGCAGTGTCTAATCATATCTGGTTTGTTTTCCACCTGGTTGAAGGTCTTGCTGTTTTACACGCCCACCTTGCTGCCGACCAGCTCAGGTAGAATGATCTTGTTCCTAGGAGGGTTTTCACCACCTCGGGCTTCTCCATGGTGGTGCCTCCTTCTTGGCCTTTCTCAAATGCTTGAGCAGTGAGTGCTGCTTCCTCTGCAGGACAGGGTTCAGGCACTGCCTCTGGTGAGCACTGTACAACTGCATCGGCGGCTCACAGGACATGTCCAACAGTTGGTCGAGGTCCATGGCATGATAGGTGAACTTGCACTTGCGGAAGGTCCACTTCTTCTTCTGCTCCACTTCAGCCATCTAGGTGGATGCTTGGAAAAGGATGTTTTGTGTTTCTTAAGATTTAAATTTACGCCGGGCGGTGGTGGCGCACGCCTTTAATCCCAGTACTTGGACGGCAGAGGCAGGTGGATTTCTGAGTTCGAGGCCACCCTGATCTACAGAGTGAGTTCCAGGACAGCCAGGGCTACACAGAGAAACCCTGTCTCGAAAAAAAAAAAAAAAAGATTTAAATTTACAAGCATTATATGTGGTTGTGCGTGCGCACGCGCGCGCACATACACATACACATGTACCTGTAACCTAGTCACTCTGGTAACTTGTGCTTTCACTTTCACTTTCACTTAATTCTAGAAACTCTCTCATTTCTTCCCTGTTTTCTTTGGGGACACACTAGTCATTGAAAGGTGTGTTGTTAGGTCTGCATGTATTTATGGGGTTTCTGTACTTTTCACATTACTGACTTCTAGTTAACTACACTATCATGTGATACGATATAAGGGATTATTTTGATTCTTTTGTATTTGGAAAGACTAGATTTATAGTCTGAGCAGAGTTTCCAGAGCACACTGAAAAGGTGTGAACTCTGTTTCTGTTGGATGGACTACTCTGTCATTCCGTGAAACATTTGTAAACTCCATTTGTTCTATTTTACAGTTCATCACTGAGGTTTTTTGACTTATCAGTTTGGATTCCATATCTAGACATTAGTGTGGGTACTAAAATCACCCACTACTAATACATCTGGCCCTAATCTGACCTTATATGTCGATTACTGTTTGTCTTATGAAACCCAGCATTTGGTGTATTCATATTTGCAGTTACTACATCTTCTAGATGGGTGTTTCCATTTACTACTATCCAGTGACCTCCTATACAATTTTGTTTTGAAGCATGTGAGATTAGCCATGCCATCCTGTGCTCCACTTCCTTTCATCTGATGGATCACCTCCCCACCCTTCACTGTCTTCCTTGGGCATCTTGAAAGAGACAACTGGATCAAGTTCTTTAGTCCTGCCTTCTATAAGAAAGCTGTCTGGGGCTAGAGAGATGGCTCAGTAGTTAAGAGTACTGACTGTTTTTACAAAGGTCTTGAGTTCAATTCCCAGCAACCACATAGGGTCTCCCATCCAT